GTGCCAGATAGTTAGGGATATGTCACAGTAAGTACTAACCGTAAATGTTTCACATACGTTTGTGAACCTATTTTGCACACAGGCGGTGGATCATTGTGAAAAATTGTGTGAATATTCATTTTTATTGAGACGTTGTGTGTGTAAGTGCCTGTGCTTTCAACAGTCTTCTACGTCAATGCACGTGCGTCAAGAGCCACAAACTCAACAGAATTTCATCTCTGTTATTGTTTACGCCTGAATGCGTGATTGATCAGGGAGGGGAGCATGTAAGAGGGAGAAATTTTTTTTGGGGTTTCGAAAAACACAATTCCACTTGACAATTTCATGGGCCATTTCAATTGGAAACTCGGCATAATGGACCCTTTGACTGACTAGTAAAAAAAATGAAAGGTGTGTATATTGCTCTTATTTAGCCGCCTATATAGTTCTTATTTAGAACAAAGTCTTCATTGTTATCTTCTAAAACTACGGACCATCCGCTGACCGCTGTGGAGACGTGCGCCGGGCCTCGAATTTGGCGCACGTCTCCACTGCGGACAGCGCTTCATACTTCAACATCCCCGCGGTCGCGTGCGCATATCCCGCGGAACTGCGCGTCTCATCCGCGCGCAGCGCTCAGGATCCACAGCAAAGCTGTGCCACGCAATCTTGTATCATGTCTCTCTGGATTTACGACTAGTGTTTTGATTTACAGCTAAGTCGTGGAGTTAACGTAGGGCCAAGTATTGTGATTATTATCAGTTTGGCAACGGCCCCCTGCTGTTATCATTGGCACCCTGTCGTTACTAGTGTAAACCCACTGCTGCTACTAGCATGTATATATGTGATTAGTGGTATGGCATGTATACTAGGTGGTTATAGTGAAGGGGGAGGTGGGAGAAAACGGTCAGTGCAGGATGATGGGTTAAATACAATGCTCTGTCCATTCGTCATGCTGAACGCACAGAAGATCGAGCGACATTTTAGTTGGTATGTTATAGTGCCCCTTCCCAAACACACAGACAGATATGCATTAACTCTCTAACCACCGACTACCAGCATTAGTGCAGTGCACTGGAATCATTGGGATACATACTATATTAACATGAACATGTATGTAGTATACACATATGTGTATACGTATGTTATGTGCGGATTAGATACAATAATGTAACCCAAACCCAAGAGGATATATCCCCCCTATCCTCTTGGGTTTGGGTTACATTATTGTATCTATGTGCGGATATGTTCGCGTTTAAACTTAGAATGATAGCTACGAGCTACAAAGTGGTATGATAAATCCAAGAGTAATTTTATTTTATGATAAATCAATCAAAGTATATTGACCTGTTAGCAGTGGTCAATGCCAAGCCGAATGAAGTTGCTTGGGTGTGTCACCCAATGGCGAAAATCTGAATATTATCCGATGAATTTGATGCTAAGAATTAAGTGACTTGATATTGGTCAACTCAGTTGTTAGTGTTTTGATATAGGCATGTAGCACTCTACAGTGTGATTAAGTTTGATCATCTCACTGGGTGACACGTCGACTCGTGGAGCATGAGATCAGCACAGGTCAGCGCAGCAACGAGCTCGGCCGCATCACAGACTGGGTGCCCAAGGTGTGGAACCATCTCAACAAGTTCCTGGAAAACCACAGTTCGTCAGACGTCACTATCGGTGAGCTTGGCCCTTCCCTCCCTCTCTGTCCCCGTGCTTTACGGGTAATGCTATCCCAAGGGCGTGGAGGGAGGTGACCGCAATGTGGCAGCACTAGTGTTGGGATAAGGGTCAGGGTTAGGGTTAGGGTTAGGGTTAGGGTTAGGGTTAGGATTAGGGTTAGGGTTAGGATTAGGGTTAGGGTTAGGGTTAGGGTTAGGGTTAGGGTTAGGATTAGGGTTAGGGTTTTTGCATCATGATTATATGATTATATCTGTCCCCACACCATAGATTAATTTTTGTGGATCACAATGCCTATATATAGCGCGGCGACACATATATATTTAGTGTGAGTGTTAGTGTTGGCGGTGTTGGAGTGAGGGTTTCCGTTAGGTTTAACGTTTTGAACGTCATCGACAACGTTATCACGTGACCTCCCTCCACGCCCGTGGGATAGCAACACCCGTGCTTTACAGGCATGCTAAAAAATATCTCATGATTTACAGATCTGCGTACGCAATCACCATAATCTCCCCAGTTTTACGTGCTGAGTGTCCCACCCCCTCCACTCTACCGTTTTTACATGTATTCGCAAAAGTAACACGTTATACTTCGCAAAGCATCTCTCGCTTCTCATACGTTAGTGTACATGTATCGGCAAAATTATTGCTTGCTTTCACTTGGGGCAAAGCTATGTGCCCTTTCACATTACATGTATAAGTGTGTGTGTGTGCGTGCGTGCGTGCGTGCGTGTATACAGACCTATAGTGGTACCTGCTAACTGATTGTCTCTTGATTACAGACAAGTTTTGCTGAATGAGGAAGTAATTTTTATAGTCTAAATGACTAATGACTCGATGCCATTTTATTTGTGATAGGCCCGCGCCTGTTTCTCTCCTGCCCGATGGAGGTATCTGGTGCACAGGTTTGGTTCACAGACCTGTGGAATTACTCGATCGTGCCCTACCTGCTGGAGGCAGTGCGTGAGGGCTTGCAGGTACGTTACGCACTTCTAGACACATGATATCAAGAGCAGATAAAGAAGGTACCTTCTTTATCTGCTCTTGATGATATACTACCTGCTCTATACCCCCGGGCAGTCTGACATTTCTCTTCCGAGGTTACTGTCCTCTGCAAATAAATACGGTTGCATGTGGCAACACCTCGTGTCGATAACGGTGAATAGAATTTGATTCAAATTGATTGATTGATTGATGAACCACATGCACACCATGATGATCATGTACTCCAACCACGACGGTGACAGAAACAGCAATTCAGACCAGCAATTCCAATAGTATTTACAAACAATCCACGAAGATACAGTCGTAATCAGAGTTAGGCTCCGTGGACTGCCGCGTTTGTGTAGACAAATCGTTATATATATCTATATACTTAGGAGCTTGTCTGATTCGTGAACTTCGTTCCAGTCAATATATGGGCGCTGTGGCTTCGTTCCCGTCACGAGTCGGGTGCCTATAGGTTCGTGACCCGCATCGTATCTTAGAATCTCGCCGCTTGCCTAGCTGGCGTGGTTGGTAGCGTCCGCGTGCGGAACCGCGGGCTGCTTCCACGCGGGCTTTTTAACCCCCGAGACGCAGATCGGGGGATCGTGTCTCGGTGTGGTTGCTCGGAAAATTTTTTGTTTTTTTATCAGCTTATAATTATAATATTGATATTATGTATATTTGTAGTATTAGTTAATGGTGGCAATTTGGTGAAGGTGGTGGGAAATGGATCCTACGCACGTCGATCGTGCGTGATATTTAAACGTTGTGTATATAAATGTCTATGCGAAGGGATGCAAGTGTGATTTACGTTAACCTGATTCCGCGCACAATTACTACTAGACACACAATTACACGTGTACCTTGTGATTCCACCAGCTGTGTTGACACACGCAATAACAGCGACGTGATAATGAAAGCATAGCGTTTATGAAACACGGCGTATATGTAGTGCTGTCTGTGTGTGTGTGCGTCAGACTTCGGGATGTTCTGAATTTTAATGCTGTATTATTATCATATATGCAATGTACTGTGTAATGTAATTTGATGTTTAATTAATTATTTAAGGTATCCATTTTGAATTTATTTCACTGCACAATTTTCGAATATACACAGTTATACATAGTTTATTGGGCCTGTTACATTTACAACTGCTTGACTCATACTCGGTTGCACATTAATGGGTCAATAGCCTAATTAGTAGTCTAATAATTAATAATTATGAGTAACTAGTTGTCATCTCTGTGTGTTGTCTGTGTGTATGTACAGCAAGCATCTGTTATCTGTCTAGTGTCTTTGACCCAGAGGACAGCGAGAGTGTGAGAGATCTGAAGAAGCAGCTGAGAGACAAGGAGATGAAGCTGACGGACATCAGACTCGATGCGCTGACGTCGGCCCACCAGCTGGACCAGCTGAGGGAGCAGGTCGGCAAGATGAGGGTGAGTGAGCGCCCGCAGGCTGCGGCGACAACGATGATGATGGTGGTGATGATGATGATGGTGGTGGTGATGATGATGATGATCACAACTTACTTTGTTTTTATACTTTTATTTTTTGCTTTTATATTTTTTTGTTATACTTTCTTTTTGTTTACTTACAGTATACAGTTATTGTTTAGACATTGAAGGGTGAGAGTTGTTTAGATACAAATTAACTCAATTTTTCTAGGTAGGCTGCAAATTAGCCACGTGCAGTTTGTGTTCAGGGCAGCAACGACTGTATTATATGTCATGTGTGTGTGTTTATTTATTTATTTATTATATACAGTGTATATATATTATATTATTATATATTGCTAAACGTGTGTGCGTCTGGCTCTCAGGATGAGATGATGAACTTGAAGCATGAGAACAACAAGCTGCAGAAGGCAATGTCTAGCGGCGGTGGTTCCATCGCAGGCTCACAGATGTCGCTCAACAACCGACACAGCTTCGACTCCGTCGACCACCGACTCAGCCTCTCTGACATATCCGCAACGGGCAGCGGAGGTACGTGGCGCCCCCCGGTGGGGAGATCGGGGTTACAGCAGACCCACACTTCCACGATACCACATCAATTTAATTTCTGTCGATTCCCAATTTTTGACTGAGTTTGGAAGCTTGCAGAAGCTTAATGTCTTCTTCCTAATCTCAATTATGAACAGACGATGAGCTGAATAAGAGACAGTGAATCGATTACATTTTTCTAATCTTTTTTTGTTGTTCGTTCGCAGAATTGTCTATAGGAGATGGTGCCGAGAAGGAGGGAAGGCGGATATCGGTGTCAGTGTCCATAGGTGGGCACACGGACTCAAGCAAGTGGGCGCATGTAAGTGCATCTCTCTCGCTCCCTCCCTTTCACTCCCCCTCTCTCTCTCTCTCACCCCCTCTCACTCTCTCTCTCTTTATTGTGTAGCATCAAAGTTTTTGCAGTACATTTATTTGTGGTCATAACGGATTCATATTTGGTGTCAGTGTGAATTTGTCAGTATGTCAGTATGTTCAATTGTAACTACTTTATATCTGGCATTATTGTGAATTTTTGAGAATGTTTGATCATAGCAATTTTGTTTTTATTAGCATTTCACATGTTGTGGTGTGGTGTGGTGTGCTTAGATGGCATCTCTGCAAATTGTTGCATCGTTGCATGCATTGTGTGTAATCGGTTTGTGTCTGTCCCTGCAGGCGGACAAACAAGCAGACATTCTGATTGGATCCATCTTCGTTAGCGGCAAGACCAAGTGGGAACTGCTCGACAATATAGTGAGGCGGATATTCAAGGTAACTGTGCGTGTGTGGAGAGAGAGTAGAAAGAGTGAGTGAGTCGAGTCGCTCATTCCCTTTCTTTAGAGATATTGTAATCAGTTAATACATAAAATACTAATAAAATGTCTCGTGCAAAACAACCGGGCGTTGTCCAAAAGTCACGCACGCACGCACGCACGTACGCATGGGGCGCACCAATTATCGTGTGTTGTCATTATAAGATCTTCGCAAATTCGTCGGGCAAACACTGATGTGTCGACTTGTTATGCTAGCCGCTTTTACACTGCCGCTGTAATCCTGTTAGTGAGCCACTCATCATGTTATATGGTCTAATACACACACTGCCCTTAAGGCTGTAATAACGCTATAGGGTCGCTCTGATGTTCACGGCTATAAAAGGCAGTAGCTCAAACAGTACTACTACTACTAATACTACTACAAACTGCACACACACATTTATAGTGTGTATGTATCCGTGTGTGCGTGCGTGTGTGCGTATACAGTTTAATCTGACTATACATCATGCTCTGATACACGCAGTCGTTAGGAATAGCGAGCACGTGTGTGTGTGTGTGTGTGTGTGTGTGTGTGTGTGTGTGTGTGTGTGTGTGTGCGTGTGTGTGTGTGTTGTAGCAGCCGCGCCACATTCTGTCGTGTGGCCGTGTCGGCTGCATCTCTCCACGCTGCCGCCAGCGACGCTCTTGTTTGGATCTCGCTAATAATTTATGAGCAGATGCTATCTCTACCTACGGCCCCGTTGATGCAATCAATGGCATCTTAATCAAATGGTCTTCTTGATATTATTTGCTAGCAGATGACATTTTTATAACCGGGTTAATAGGATTCGATATTAACTATAAATGGAAGTTAATGTTTACCGTGCAATATAGTCCGAGCTGTTTTAATTAGGAATGAACGTGGGAGTGGACCTATCTCGTCTAGGTTTATAAGTTTCTACACTTCTCTACTCTTCGTGCGTGTAGCTTAGCAGAACGAGATTCTGCCGTTAAAGCGTGTATTGCGAGTTTTTTGGCTCAGAAAAAACGAAATATAGCTGAATATAGTCTCACCTGACAGTGGAAATATCACTGATTATACCAACATTTAAAACACCAAGATTTTATGCAGCTATAGCATAGAAAAATTGATTTGACCACATCATACCTGATCCCGTCTCTAACCTGGGTCTGAGCGCGGACGCGGTGCACAGCTACAGCATCGGCGACGTCGTGCGATGCCAGGACGCCGACGCCGCCCCCGACCTGCTGCCCTGCGGCTACCTGGTCGGAGACAACATGCAGATCAAGCTGAGCATCAGGGGTAAGAGCACACGCGCGCGCACTCACACCCACGTACGTGCACACGCCACACAAACTGCGCATACTATTGTCATGATGTCTTACGCGTAATGACTAATAAACACATAGGTGCGACGCATACGCTTTTTCATTCTAGTTTCGCATATTTCATATTTCAGTGTGATTTAATCATCGATGGTTATTGAGTAGTGACAATAGCATTTAACATCATCAATAGTATTGAGCGAGTGCTGTTCGCTTGTTTCAGGTGCGCAGCAGCACTGTGTGGATGCTCTTGCCTACGAGACGCTCATCCCGAAGTCGATCGTGCAGCGCTACACGTCTCTGCTGCTTGAGCATCGCCGCATCATCCTGTGTGGCCCCAGCGGCACAGGCAAGAGCTACCTGGGCCAGCGGCTGGCTGAGTACCTCGTGCTACGGTGAGTCTCACCTTCTCGAACTCTGTGTGTGTTTGTGTGCACTGTGCGCAAGTGCTGGCCGAGTAGTCTCTGTCTCTGTCTGTTCTATGGTTATGAATTTAAGTTGATAATCTGTTGTAATGGTTTATTCATGTACATCATTCAGAGAGTCGGGCAAGTGTGATTTCAATACAACATGTAATCATTTATTGATTACAGTATATACTACATCATACGTACATCATACATTATATTATTATCAATACTACACGTTAACACAACAAACATATAATACGTCTGATCTTGAAAGTAACATTGACGTCGTTGCATGCAGGTCGGGTAAGGAGTCATCGCCTGGAGCCATCGCGACATTCAACGTCGACCACAAGTCGAACAAAGAGCTGCGCGGATACCTCGCGAACATAGCCGAGCAGTGTGAGGGCGCCGCCGCTGCCGACCTACCGACGGTGATCATTCTCGACAACCTGCACCACGTCAGCTCGCTGGGCGAGGTAAGTATACCTGCCTCCCGACCGGCGGAGAGGAGGGGAGGAGGAGAGACAGAGAGGGAGGGGAGGAGGAGACGACGGCGGCGGCAGGAGGGGAGAGAGAAGAGAGAGAGGGCGGGAAGAGACAGAGAGACAGATCCCTCCCCTCTCCCCTGGAGGAGACAGCGCGAGAGAGAGAGAGAGGGGGAAGAGACAGAGTCAGAGTGCGACAAAAGAGAGCGAGAGGGGGAGAGAGAGAGAGAGAAGAGAGAGAGAGAGCACACGAGGGCGAGAGAAAGAGAGAGAGAGCACACGAGGGCGAGAGAAAGAGAGAGAGGGCGGGAAGAGACAGAGAGTCAGAGAGCGACAAAAGAGAGCGAGAGGTGGAGAGAAGAGAGAGACGAGGAAGAGAGAGGGGAAGAAGACAAGAGAAGAAGAGCGAGAGGAAAAACAGAGAGGGGGGAAAGACAGAGGGGAGGGGAGAGAGAGAGAGGCGATGAGAGAAGAGAGAGAGCGCGAGGGAATAGAGAGAGAGAGAGTAGAGAGAGAGAGAGAAGGAGAACAAGAAGCGAAAAAGGAAGAGAGAGAGACAGAAGAGGGGGACAGAGGAGAGAAGAGAGAGAGAGAGAAAAGAGGAGTCTGGCGCTCCTCCTCCTCCCCTGCTCCTCCGTCCGTGCCCCTCCCTCGCTCTCGAGAGAGAAAAAAGAACGGGATAAACAGAGCGAAAGCGAGGAANAAATGTTTATTATTTAATATGTAGCTACCCTTCGTGTGTAACATGAACTATACGATCCTGAAATGTTTACTATTATGGCGTGTGTTGTGTGTGTGTGTGTGTGTGTGAGTGCGTGCGTGCGTGCGTGCGTGCGTGTGTGCGTGCGTGCGTGCGTGCGTGCGTGAGAGAGAGAGAGAATGGGCGAGAGGAGCATAATGATACAGAGATATCCTCATTTTTATCGTCAGGTAATAAGAAGTACTGGAGAAACTTCTTCAGAGCCGCCGCCGACCTGCGAGACATTAGAAGAAAGTCCCTTCAACGGCAAACTGGGATCATGGTGCTATTCGCTGTGTGGTTGCGACAACTGTGAATGTTTAACATCGGGTCCCTGTCCATGCTGTCCTCCCGCGTCATCGGTCACAACTTCAAGCAAAATATCCCGACTATGTTCCACGCTTTGTGGCTGCACACAATGCATTTGTACGGGATGTGAGGGGTAATGGATGATTATGCTGGTGGAGCTTCTGCGAGTGGCTCACGTGCGCCGCACGTAAATATTGTACAACCAACATAATGCAAGGATTGTTAAAATACATACAGATGAAAACATATTCAATGATTTAGAACATTTCTTCTTGTTTTTCTCTGTTGATTCATCGCAGTCACTAATGGGTTGCTCTACGTTCTCTGGGTTCTTTTCTCGACAAAAAGAAAGCGCAAAATAAGAAATAGTTTTACAATTACTATACAAATAATACAATCAGCGAATAAAAATGTGGTTAATTCAAATGGGCGTAGGACGCTTTGTTTCTTTGCTGGCCAGCCGCTTCTGCAGGCTCTTGGAGTGTCGAACTTCGTAAATGTAAATCTTAATTTTCTAAGACATCCCGGACACCCAACTACATAGAAGTGTGTTATACATTCTCATTTGTCACGTCAAGCCAAATACACGTATAACTAGAGAGACAGAAATGTCTATAGTTCCGCGTTTCTAGCCGCAAAACCTGTCTGAAGAAAAGTCATTTGGTGTCATCATTTTTTATGTATGTGTCAGCTTTGCGGGGTGACCGTGCTAGGCACCTTGTTACGGTACAATGACCTGTGCCGTTAGCTTATATAAGTATATATATATATATATATATATATATATAACTACGTATATATATATGACATATATATACGTGGCACCTGCAGATAGCGGCTTACACACGACTCCTTTGTCACCGTACCTATAGATAAGTTTATGCCACACGAGCTACCATGTGTTGAGTGGTGTTAAAAGACAGTATGTATACTCACGTCTTAGATGCGGCGAGGTCTAATGTTGTTGGTGTCAACTACATAATAGCAAATATTACAAAGTCGAAAACGAACGTACATGAACGCATATATAAAGGAAGGATAAAGACCGCTCTACCAGATAATGCGGCAACAATGAATTGAAGAACAGGATCGTATAGTTCATATTACACACGAAGGGTAGGAGCTACATAATAAATAATAAACATTTCAGGCTTGTATAGTTCATATTACACACGAAGGGTAGGAGCTACATAATAGTAAACATTTCAGGATCGTATAGTTCATATTACACACGAAGGGTGGGAGCTACATAATAGTAAACATTTCAGGATCGTATAGTTCATATTACACACGAAGGGTAGGAGCTACATAATAGTAAACATTTCAGGATCGTATAGTTCATATTACAAACGAAGGGTAGGAGCTACATAATAGTAAACATTTCAGGATCGTATAGTTCATGTTACACACGAAGGGTAGGAAATGTTTACTATTTAGCTACATAACTACCCTTC